ACACAGGCTCACACACACACACACAGACTCACACACAACACACAGATAAACACACACACACAGGCTCACACACACAACACTCAGGCACACACACACATACAGACTCACACGCACAACAACAACAAGCGCCATTCGCCACTAAGTGGCGGTGACGTCACCACGACGCTTGTGCCAGGCTATGTGCACCCTGAGGCCACAAACACACACACACAGGCTCACACACACACACACAGACTCACACACAACACACAGGCACACACACAACACACAGGCACACACACACACAGACTCACACACAACACACAGGCACACACACAAACACAGACAAACACACAAACACAGACTCACACACAACACACAGGCACACACACAAACACAGACTCACACACACACACAGGCACACACACAAACACAGACTCATACACAAACACAGACTCACACACAACACACAGACTCACACACAACACACAGACTCACACACACACAGACTCAGACTCACACACACACAGACTCACACACACACACAGACTCACACACAACACACAGGCTCACACACAACACACAGACTCACACACACACAGACTCACACACAACACACAGACTCACACACACACAGGCTCACACACAACGCACAGGCTCACACACAACACACAGACTCACACACACAACACACAGACTCACACACAACACACAGACTCACACACACACAACACATAGGCTCACATACAACAACACACAGACTCACACACACACAGGCACACACACAACACACAGGCACACACACAACACACAGACTCACACACAACACATAGACTCACACACAACACACAGACTCACACACACAGGCTCACACACACACACAGACTCACACACAACACACAGACTCACACACACAACACACAGACTCACACACACACACAGGCTCACACACACACACAGACTCACACACAACACACAGATAAACACACACACACAGGCTCACACACACAACACTCAGGCACACACACACATACAGACTCACACGCACAACAACAACAAGCGCCATTCGCCACTAAGTGGCGGTGACGTCACCACGACGCTTGTGCCAGGCTATGTGCACCCTGAGGCCACAAACACACACACACAGGCTCACACACACACACACAGACTCACACACAACACACAGGCACACACACAACACACAGGCACACACACACACACAGACTCACACACAACACACAGGCACACACACAAACACAGACAAACACACAAACACAGACTCACACACAACACACAGGCACACACACAAACACAGACTCACACACACACACAGGCACACACACAAACACAGACTCATACACAAACACAGACTCACACACAACACACAGACTCACACACAACACACAGACTCACACACACACAGACTCAGACTCACACAAAGATAAAAGATAAAGATCCCCCGTATAGCCTTAACAGACTGTAGGGGCAAGTGCTGTTAGCGAGCACCTATGAAGGCCGGAACGGTACACGAGGGGGTGGGTGGCCAGCACCACGCCCGACCGCCTTTGTCTCCCTAGTGACGATGTTTACACACCACACCAGGTACTCATTTGAGGCTGAGTCGACCTAGGGGAGGCCCGGGACCGGTTCAAATAATCGTCACTGGTGTTGGCCGTGAGCGGGAATCGAACCCGGGTCGCCAGGTTCATAGCGCAGCGCGCTAACCGCTACACTACCGCTCCCCACACACAGACTCACACACACACACAGACTCACACACAACACACAGGCTCACACACAACACACAGACTCACACACACACAGACTCACACACAACACACAGACTCACACACAACACACAGACTCACACACACACAGGCTCACACACAACGCACAGGCTCACACACAACACACAGACTCACACACACAACACACAGACTCACACACAACACACAGACTCACACACACACAACACATAGGCTCACATACAACAACACACAGACTCACACACACACAGGCACACACACAACACACAGGCACACACACAACACACAGACTCACACACAACACATAGACTCACACACAACACACAGACTCACACACACAACACACACAGGCTCACACACACACACAGACTCACACACAACACACAGACTCACACACACAACACACAGACTCACACACACACACAGGCTCACACACACACACAGACTCACACACAACACACAGATAAACACACACACACAGGCTCACACACACAACACTCAGGCACACACACACATACAGACTCACACGCACAACAACAACAAGCGCCATTCGCCACTAAGTGGCGGTGACGTCACCACGACGCTTGTGCCAGGCTATGTGCACCCTGAGGCCACAAACACACACACACAGGCTCACACACACACACACAGACTCACACACAACACACAGGCACACACACAACACACAGGCACACACACACACACAGACTCACACACAACACACAGGCACACACACAAACACAGACTCACACACAACACACAGGCACACACACAAACACAGACTCACACACACACACAGGCACACACACAAACACAGACTCATACACAAACACAGACTCACACACAACACACAGACTCACACACAACACACAGACTCACACACACACAGACTCAGACTCACACAAAGATAAAAGATAAAGATCCCCCGTATAGCCTTAACAGACTGTAGGGGCAAGTGCTGTTAGCGAGCACCTATGAAGGCCGGAACGGTACACGAGGGGGTGGGTGGCCAGCACCACGCCCGACCGCCTTTGTCTCCCTAGTGACGATGTTTACACACCACACCAGGTACTCATTTGAGGCTGAGTCGACCTAGGGGAGGCCCGGGACCGGTTCAAATAATCGTCACTGGTGTTGGCCGTGAGCGGGAATCGAACCCGGGTCGCCAGGTTCATAGCGCAGCGCGCTAACCGCTACACTACCGCTCCCCACACACAGACTCACACACACACACAGACTCACACACAACACACAGGCTCACACACAACACACAGACTCACACACACACAGACTCACACACAACACACAGACTCACACACACACAGGCTCACACACAACGCACAGGCTCACACACAACACACAGACTCACACACACAACACACAGACTCACACACAACACACAGACTCACACACACACAACACATAGGCTCACATACAACAACACACAGACTCACACACACACAGGCACACACACAACACACAGGCACACACACAACACACAGACTCACACACAACACATAGACTCACACACAACACACAGACTCACACACACAACACACACAGGCTCACACACACACACAGACTCACACACAACACACAAACTCACACACACAACACACAGACTCACACACAACACACAGACTCACACACAACACACAGACTCACACACAGACTCACACACACACAACACACAGACTCACACACAACACACAGACTCACACACATACACACACACAACACACACAGACTCAGACACACAACACACAGGCTCACACACACACACACACAGAATCACACACACACACAGGCACACACACAACACACACAGACTCACACACACAACACACAGACTCGCACACAACACACAGGCACACACACACCAACACACAACACACAGGCACACACACAGAATCACACACACACACAGGCACACACACAACACACACAGACTCACACACACAACACACAGACTCACACACAACACACAGGCACACACACACACCAACACACAACACACACGCACACACAGACTCACACACACACACAGACTCACACACACACAGACTCACACACACACACAGGCTCACACACAAACACAGACTCACACACAAACACAGACTCACACACAACACACAGGCACACACACACAGATAAACACACACACAGACTCACACACACACAGACTCACACACACACACAGGCTCACACACACACACAGACTCACACACAACACACAGATAAACACACACACACAGGCTCACACACACAACACTCAGGCACACACACACATACAGACTCACACGCACAACAACAACAAGCGCCATTCGCCACTAAGTGGCGGTGACGTCACCACGACGCTTGTGCCAGGCTATGTGCACCCTGAGGCCACAAACACACACACACAGGCTCACACACACACAGACTCACACACAACACACAGGCACACACACAACACACAGGCACACACACACACACAGACTCACACACAACACACAGGCACACACACAAACACAGACAAACACACAAACACAGACTCACACACAACACACAGGCACACACACAAACACAGACTCACACACACACACAGGCACACACACAAACACAGACTCATACACAAACACAGACTCACACACAACACACAGACTCACACACAACACACAGACTCACACACACACAGACTCAGACTCACACACACACAGACTCACACACACACACAGACTCACACACAACACACAGGCTCACACACAAACACAGACTCACACACAACACACAGGCACACACACAACACACAGGCACACACACACAGATAAACACACACTCACACAGACTCACACACAACACACAGGCTCACACACAAACACAGACTCACACACACACAGGCTCACACACACACAGACTCACACACAACACACAGGCACACACACACAGATAAACACACACACACACACAGGCACACACACAACACACACAGACTCACACACACACAGACAAACACACACACAACACACAGGCACACACACAACACACAGGCACACACACACAGACAAACACACACACACACAGACAAACACACACACAGACTCACACACACAACACAAACCATTCAGTTTCAAGCACAATGCATCACATTATTATTAATAAGCATTGTGGCTTCTAATGCAGAAAGGTTTCAGTTTTGTGTTCCAACATCTCGTCCGAAATCGCGTGACGTCATTTATGGCCGGTCCCTTTAACCCCCCACCCCGTCCCCTACAGGATGGAGCAGGAACTGGGCTCCCTGGAGCAGCTGGAGGCGACTCTGGCCGAGAGGGGCCGACGGGTCTCGGGGAAACTCCACGCGGTCGAGGAGACGGTGGAGAAAGCACGGCGGGTCAGTCGACCTTCGACCCCGGCGACCTTGACCCCGGCGACCTCGGCCCTGACCTTGAGCCTGACCTCGACAGTGGCGCCGACACCGGTCCCGGCCTTGCGCCCCCGCCCCCCCCCCCCTGATCTTGACACAATGGACGTGAAGTTGGCACTGACCTTGACCCTGACCTTTGACCCCGACCTTGACCCTGATCTACCCACCTGCTCACCCACTCACGCATCCATCACACACCCGGGTGTCTTGACCACCAACTCACCAACTCACACACCCACTCACCAACTCACTCACCAACTCACTCACTCACTCACCAACTCACACACCCACTCACTCACCAACTCACACACCCACTCACCAACTCACCAACTCACACACCCACTCACTCACCAACTCACACACTCACTCACCAACTCACCCACTCACCCACTCACTCACCAACTCACTCACCAACTCACCCACTCACCCACTCACTCACCCACTCACCCACTCACTCACCAACTCACACACCCACTCACTCACCAACTCACACACCCACTCACCAACTCACCAACTCACACACCCACTCACTCACCAACTCACACACCCACTCACCAACTCACCAACTCACACACCCACTCACTCACCAACTCACACACTCACTCACCAACTCACACACCCACTCACTCACCAACACACCCACTCACTCACCAACTCACACACCCACTCACCAACTCACCAACTCACACACCCACTCACTCACCAACTCACACACTCACTCACCAACTCACACACCCACTCACTCACCAACACACCCACTCACCAACTCACACACCCACTCACTCACCAACTCACACACCCACTCACCCACTCACTCACCAACTCACACACCCACTCACTCACCAACTCACACACCCACCCACTCACTCACCAACTCACACACTCACTCACCAACTCACACACCCACACACTCTCCAACTCACACACCCACCCACTCACTCACCAACTCACCAACTCACTCACCAACTCACACACCCACCCACTCACTCACCAACTCACACACCCACACATTCACTCTCCAACTCACACACCCACCCACTCACTCACCAACTCACACACTCACTCACCAACTCACACACTCACTCACCAACTCACCAACTCACACACTCACTCACCAACTCACACACCCACACATTTACTCTCCAACTCACACACCCACCCACTCACTCACCAACTCACCCACTCACCAACTCACACCCACTCACTCACTAACTTACCCACTCACTGACTCACACACCCACCCACTCACTCACCAACTCACTCACTCACCAACTCACACACCCACCCACTCACTAACCAACTCACACACCCACCCACTCACTCACCAACTCACCCATTCACTCACTCACACACCCACCCACCCACTCACTCACCAACTCACCAACTCACTCACCAACTCACACACTCACCCACTCACTCACCAACTCACACACCCACCCACTTACTCACCAACTCACCAACTCACTCACCAACTCACTCACCCTCTCACTCACCCACTCACCCACTCACTCACCCATCCACTCACTCACCAACTCACCCACTCACTCATCCACTCAATCACTCACCAACTCACACACCCACCCACTCACTCACCAACTCACACACCCACACATTCACTCTCCAACTCACACACCCACCCACTCACTCACCAACTCACACACTCACTCACCAACTCACACACTCACTCACCAACTCACCAACTCACACACTCACTCACCAACTCACACACCCACACATTTACTCTCCAACTCACACACCCACCCACTCACTCACCAACTCACCCACTCACCAACTCACCCACTCACTCACTAACTTACCCACTCACTGACTCACACACCCACCCACTCACTCACCAACTCACTCACCAACTCACACACCCACCCACTCACTAACCAACTCACACACCCACCCACTCACTCACCAACTCACCCATTAACTCACTCACACACCCACCCACCCACTCACTCACCAACTCACCAACTCACTCACCAACTCACACACTCACCCACTCACTCACCAACTCACACACCCACCCACTTACTCACCAACTCACCAACTCACCAACTCACTCACCAACTCACTCACCCTCTCACTCACCCACTCACCCACTCACTCACCCATCCACTCACTCACCAACTCACCCACTCACTCATCCACTCAATCACTCACCAACTCACACAACCACTCACTCACCAACTCACTCACCAACTCACCCACTCACTCACTCACCAACTCACTCACCCACTCACTCACCAACTCACTCACCAACTCACTCACCCACTCACTCACCAACTCACTCACCAACTCACTCACCAACTCACTCACCCACTCACTCACCAACTCACTCACCCACTCACTCACCAACTCACTCACCAACTCACACACTCACTCACTCACTCACCCACTCACACACTCACTCACCAACTCACTCACTCACTCACCCACTCACTCACCAACTCACCAACTCACTCACCCACTCACTCACCAACTCACCCACTCACTCACTCACCAACTCACCCACCCACTCACTCACCAACTCACCCACCCACTCACTCACCAACTCACTCACCCACTCACTCACCAACTCACCCACCCACTCACTCACCAACTCACACACTCACTCACTCACTCACCTACTCACACACTCACTCACCCACTCACTCACCAACTCACTCACCAACTCACACACTCACTCACTCACTCACCCACTCACACACTCACTCACCAACTCACTCACTCACTCACCCACTCACTCACCAACTCACCAACTCACTCACCCACTCACTCACCAACTCACTCACCCACTCACTCACCAACTCACTCACCAACTCACACACTCACTCACTCACCCACTCACACACTCACTCACCAACTCACTCACTCACTCACCCACTCACTCACCAACTCACCAACTCACTCACCCACTCACTCACCAACTCACCCACTCACTCACTCACCAACTCACCCACCCACTCACTCACCAACTCACCCACCCACTCACTCACCAACTCACCCACCCACTCACTCACCAACTCACCCACCCACTCACTCACCAACTCACTCACCCACTCACTCACCAACTCACTCACCAACTCACACACTCACTCACTCACTCACCCACTCACACACTCACTCACCAACTCACTCACTCACTCACCCACTCACTCACCAACTCACCAACTCACTCACCCACTCACTCACCAACTCACCCACTCACTCACTCACCAACTCACCCACTCACTCACTCACCAACTCACCCACCCACTCACTCACCAACTCACCCACCCACTCACTCACCAACTCACTCACCCACTCACTCACCAACTCACTCACCCACTCACTCACCAACTCACTCACCAACTCACACACTCACTCACTCACTCACCCACTCACACACTCACTCACCAACTCACTCACTCACTCACCCACTCACTCACCAACTCACCAACTCACTCACCCACTCACTCACCAACTCACCCACTCTCTCACTCACCAACTCACTCACCCACTCACTCACCAACTCACTCACCCACTCACTCACCAACTCACTCACCAACTCACTCACCAACTCACTCACCCACTCACTCACCAACTCACTCACCAACTCACACACTCACTCACTCACTCACCCACTCACACACTCACTCACCAACTCACTCACTCACTCACCCACTCACTCACCAACTCACCAACTCACTCACCCACTCACTCACCAACTCACCCACCCACTCACTCACCAACTCACCCACCCACTCACTCACCAACTCACCCACCCACCCACTCACCCACTCACTCACCAACTCACTCACCCACTCACTCACCAACTCACTCACCCACTCACTCACCAACTCACCCACCCACTCACTCACCAACTCACTCACCCACTCACTCACCAACTCACTCACCCACTCACTCACCAACTCACCCACCCACTCACTCACCAACTCACTCACCCACTCACTCACCAACTCACTCACCCACTCACTCACCAACTCACTCACCCACTCACTCACCAACTCACTCACCCACTCACTCACCAACTCACCCACCCACTCACTCACCAACTCACTCACCCACTCACTCACCAACTCACTCACCCACTCACTCACCAACTCACCCACCCACTCACTCACCAACTCACTCACCCACTCACTCACCAACTCACTCACCAACTCACTCACCAACTCACACACTCACTCACTCACTCACCAACTCACCCACCCACTCACTCACCAACTCACCCACCCACTCACTCACCAACTCACCCACCCACTCACTCACCAACTCACTCACCCACTCACTCACCAACTCACTCACCCACTCACTCACCAACTCACCCACTCTCTCCCCTCTCTCTCCCTCTCAACCCCCCCTCCCTCTCTCTAACAGAAGCTGCAGGCCGACTCTGACGAGGGTGAGTCTTCGCGTTGCCGTGGTAACAACGCACGGAGGCCTCTGATTGGCCCATATGTCGATCGATCTACATAAGCATTACATATTCATGATGTCGTCACAAAGAAGCGTGCACAAATTATGTTAATCTTTGTCCCAAAGAAGATCGCCGTCGACTGAACGTGTTTAACATGTTAATGTGTTCATGAGCGAATGGGTTAACGGGTTAATGGTTAATGTGCTAACGGGCTAATGGGTTGACAAGTTAATGGGTTTATATGTTAATAAGTTAATGGGTTAATACGTTAATCGG